GAAAAGAAAAGAAAAGAAAAGAAAAGAAAAGAAAAGAAAAGAAAAGAAAAGAAAAGAAAAGAAAAGAAAAGAAAAGAAAAGAAAAGAAAAGAAAAAGAAAAGAAAAGTTGACTGAAATTTGGTCAAAAGAGACCAAATATTTCAGTTAGGAAATAATTTTATTTTGTGGTGATTACTAATTTAAAATGTTTGTTTCTATGTGGACATCTGTCCAACCATCATTTGTTTTTTAAGACATTCTCCAGCCCATCAAAAATACAGTGGATCTCAAAGATGAGAATCTAGACTCTGTACTTGGACAAACACATCAACATTGCTTTCCGAAAAGCACATGCACACATCAATACTGATTTACTGCTACAGCAGTAGTACCTGGAATAAAATATGTTCTATGTGAGAGGTGTAGCAAGGTTGTATATGGCCACTGATACCATTCACTCCCAGTATATTTCTTCAGGTAAACAGAAAGCCTTATGCTTAGAACAATGATTTGTTCTACATTTTCTAGTTTAGTGTCACCAAATGGCCAATGTTTTATTGATCTGTCAGAGAAATACATTCTCTGTTCTGTGTCATGAACTTGTAACGGGCTAAGTGTTCCATGTGGATGTTTGAAAGGATAAGAGTAGTAAAAAGATCAAATGAAGTACGTCTCATTGTAAGAACACATTTCTTACTGTACCCTTTTGGCTGGAGACTCAAACAGTCTTGTGATTTCTTTCTGAATATCCAGAACTCTTTCTATTCCCTGAAATTAAATAATAGTCAACTTCAAAAGAAAGTTATATTAATACATTTTAGCAGCTTGAATCAGAAGAGAGACAACCCTTATTCGAAATGCAAATTTAAATATAAAGTCTTCAAAAAAGCCCAAACCATTACAGATTCCTTAACACAATCTCTCCATCCACAAAATGCAGTCATGTCCAACTATAAAGGGTTACTAGCACTGGAATGAGCAGGAATATTTTATTATGGGATGTCAAGGAAAGCAGTCCCCACCTCAAAAGTATCCCTTCAGATACCTAACGAGTAAAAAATATCTGGGTCTGCATTTATATCTAAGAAGAGGGAAGGTGATAATCTCTGTTCCTAATTGTGGCTCTGCTTAAGACCCTAAACTCTGACAAGACTGAGCGCATTTACCTTCAGAATACTTCCAAGGAGCAGGAAAAAAAAAAGTCACTGTCTTGATTTTAAACATTGGGCAACACTCCAATTAAATGAATTCATTGCTTTTAATGCAAGGCTCTTTTTCCTCTTCAGCTGAGCTAGTAAATGTTGAGCGTGAACTTTGTAAAGGACATTTCAGATTTTCTCAAATTGAGCCAGTAAAGGAATACTGAAGGGGGCAGAAGTCTGTCACAGCTGGCAACAGCACAGGACAAACAGCTTCGAGCTCTGCACTGCAGTGCACACCTTGCTCCTCTCCCATGGGCACTGGGAGGCATCCTGGCTTTGAATGGGGCAGAATTAGTGACCTTGTTAACAGCTCCGGGGGACAATCCAGGAAAGTTAAAGGAAAAGCAAAAAGAAAGAGAATCGAGCTCAGCTATTTGTTCAGGTCAGCAGCACACAAAGTAGAAATCACAGCCCTAATGGAGGCATCTTGTGCAGATACATTCTTTAATGCAACGCATGGCTAAACAAAAAGAGAGAGGGCTGATCCCATCTGTCTCACCCATCCTTCTTGCTCTTTGTATTCCCTTCTAGCGTCACAATTTCATTTTAAAGCAACTTACTCCCAAATATTTCCTTCTTTCCTGTGAATTTGTTATGGGCTTTGTTGTTTTCTATGCTGTATCAAACAACTGCTAATACGTATAATCTATTCATGCAAGATCAATTATTGTGTAACACAATTCCTTGACATCTTCGTCAATGCACTGATTTTTTCCTCTATACAAACATCCATTTTAAACTTAAGTCTTCATGGTTCTTCTTTTAAATCATATTTTTATTTAATATAATGTTATTAGTGTTATAATTCTGCATTAACATCTGTTAAAACTTTGGCCTTGTAAGCTAACAAAAAATGAAAAATATAGTTTGTAAGGACTATATTGAAAAGACTTATATACTTATGTACAAATGTAGTTAGTGTGGTGTCTATAGAATACATCTATTTAAAGAAAGGAAACAGTACCTGCTGGAGTGATAACTCAACTGGTGGTATAAGCATAACTTCTTTGACTAATTTCAGTTTTGTAGGTAATTTTTTCTCACAGTTCAACACAGTTACCATTGGGAGTGGTAGAGTCATTTCTTTAGGTGACTCCTGTAATTGGGAGTGGCAGGTGAAAATAAAAATGTAAAAATTAAAATAATTTCTTATATAGTTTGGTTATTTTACAGGGCTCAAAAGCTGTTAACACAGGCAATGGTGTTACGGGTACATTCCATGAGGCAAATTTAATAAAATTGTCACAAGTGGCTGCAATAATTATGGTAATGGGATGAAATAAACCAAATGGCAAAAGCCACACGTACCTGATTGTGTTTCAGCAGTGCAGTATGTAAGTACAACGGGACACGGCTAATGGTGGCCCCAGCCTTTGCTATGGCAAGTGATGTTCCCCCAATGGCCAAGCTGCCACGCAGCACTGGTTCAGCAGGTTCTGCAGGTGGGATGGGATTCACTTCTGCTGACACCTTCTTTCCTACAACACAGAGTAGGAGCTAAACATTTTCTTGGTTCTAAATATATGCTTGTGGATCAGAGTTATGTGATGGTATTGTCATTTCAGTGTGTACTCAATGCACTAAAAATAATTTATTTTTTAAAATGTAATTGTGTCAGCTGTTTTATATGGAATGACCTTACAAGTAAGAAGAGCACCTGTCCTCACTCTAGTTTCAAACGCATTTCAAGTCTGTTTCTTTTTGAGATCTTTCAGTCACTGAAATATGTATTTTTATTTGTCTGTGTTTGAATCCAACAACAGTATATCATTTTCAGGCTCTTTTCAAAAGCATGTTTTCTTGATTGCATTCTTCAAATGCTCAGATTTTGTATAAAAAATGAAAGACAACATTATAACGTGATTGGGAGTACAAATACTTGTTTTCTTCTAATAATGTGAGAAAAACTCAGGTGTATTACAATTGGAATTCCCAAAGGGAAAATAGTCTTTTAATTATTACACATTACATTTTCATAAGGATTTCTTTCCCTTTCAGATACAATAACTTTGTACAAAATGCTTTAAACCAAGCAGTTCCCACTACCATATTTATTGCCTATAGTGCTTACATGAACACTTACAGGGAGCACCTGCTGAAGCTGCAATAATTGATCTGATTCCCAAGAACCAATGCACTGGGGACTGTTTGATATTTGCTCCAAATTGTCAGGCACTGAGTATAACAATAATGTTACAGTCAATGCCACAATTAGTAAAAACACATAATAGATGTATCAGCAGAAGCTTGTCTCAAATATCAAAGACACCATGATGATATCTGCAAGTACCTGACAACTGCAGAAGTTAAATTTCAGGCGAAAGGTGAACTTACTGTGCACATATCCAACATATGAAGTGGGAGGTTTTTTTACTGACAGTATATGATAGTTGCAGCTAAACTTATAAGAAATAATAATTTGCCAACATTTTCTGCCCTTCCAACAAATGACAACCACCCTTTTTTGTCTGAGTTTAATGTATAGATGTAGATAACATATGGTGTCTTTTTCTTTGGGTTGTTTGGTTTTGGCTGTGTATTCTCACCTGTTTTTCTAGTCTCACACCATTTTTTCCTTCTTCCTCTAGTAAAATGTTTGCTTACTTCCTTTTAATCTATACTACCCCTCACTCCCATCTCACCCTCTTCTTTTTTCTTTTTTCTTTTCTCTGTATTTCCTTCTTTTCTCAGTGTTAGAAGGAACTTTCTTCTTTCAATTGTTTTCATCTTCTATCTTAATTCTATTTGATTTTTACTACTCAGTTCTATGATTTCCTTTTCTTTCCTTATCATTTTCATTCTTCATTTGCATCCTCCTCCATTCTTATTCCTCACTCTGAAGAATAATAACCTCCTGTCTAAACCAACTGTAAAACAAAGGCAGAAACTGTTCAACCAATGCTTGTGAACGATGAGGAAACTGTATTTTTCCCCTCCCTCATTTTACTGCAGAAACTACTGTGATCAAAAAGGTCAGGAGAGAGTAACCAAACCCTTTGAAGATGAGACAGGATGTCTTTTAGGACCTTTACCAATATCTATATTGCAAAAGATATTAAAATTAAATGAAGTAAAACCTGTTTTTCCTCCCTTTTTTTGCTTAGGTGGTGAGGCTGAAGGGCACGAAGGAGAGGCATGAGTGGCTTTCGCTGCTTCTTCTTCTGCCTTTTTTTTTTCTTCTTCTTCCTTTTCAATTTTCTTTTTTTCTTCTATCTTGTTTGCAAAATATTCACTGAGGGAGGATGCATAAAAATTACTGGGTCAAAAATTTGTTAGGCACATGACAAATAGGTAGATGTGATGCAGGCTAAAGAACATGCTAGGAGGTAGATTAAGTGCTTGTGTTTGAGCTTCTGCCATAGATTCCCTGTGTGGAGCTGGAGAAGTCCATACTTTTATCACATCATTCTTTTTTGGTAGCCATCTGCAGCACTGAGTAAATAAAAAGGACCACAACGATCTCAAACCTTGGTACAAGCTTTGTAAATCACTCTGGTTTGAAGGTCAGCTGAGCATGAAGGATTTATTTCCTTTGCATGGGTACTAACAGATGCTGTCATAGCTTCATGACATCCTTCAGCCTGGCCTGGGTTAAGACAATAGGTGAGTTGTACAGTGGCTATTGTGTGGCTGCAAACTCAGAGGTGGCTGAATTTCAATTACATGCATGAAGTGAAATCTTCACCCATGGATCACATAAAGCCAATCCAGGCAAACTGAGTGAGATACATAAAGTAGTGCAAACAATGCATTAAAATCTTATTTAGACCCACTTTCCAACTGAGTCCTTATTCCCATTACCAAGGTTTCCCCAAATCCACGTGGAAAGCAATTAGGTCTGTGTGCTACAGTCTGTGTTCAGTGTTGCAGCCCAAAACAGCATGCTTTTTATATCATAATTATGAATAGCAGCCAATAATGTAGTGAAATGAGTCTGAGACAGACATTATATCCTAAAAATAGCTTTTTAAAAATTAGAAAACAGTTAATATTAGATATGTCTTTCATTACAATATAAATTAATGGTGAATATTTAAAATATTCAAATGAAATCATTTTCATAATATGCAAGACCTACCCAAGCATCTTATCTGCTTGACACTGGTCAGTAGGGTCCAAGTCCCTTAACATTGTGTTCAGTGCTTCATTGACCCATTGCACAGCAGTATGAACAGAGTCATTTCTTTCTTTTGCATCAGCTTCAATTGTTTCAGGTAAAGCATTTTCAGGTATTTGAGAATGAGTAGCCATTACAGTTGAACAAATCCTCTGGGGAAAAAAAAATAACCCAACAAAAAAATACCACCAAAACCAAAACAATGTAAAAGATTAAAAATACTATTTAATTTCTAACTTGGAAATGACATTTGAAAGACTAAGAGGTATCCCCTTACCAACTCTACAAGTACATATCTCCAAATCTATTTGCTCCACTTGTCTTTTTTCATCCAGCACCTTCTTTTTAGGCTCTTACACTTTAGTAATTGCAGACATTATTCAAGCTTTTTGACCTAAAATTATAACTACATAGGCAAAAACCCTCTGACAGGTCTGCTTTATACACATATTATGCTATCAGAACAGAATGGAGTTATTTTAAGGACCATACAATCATTAGGACACCTTTTATTGCAGCTGTTGGTAGCCTGTTGTACCATGATTCATCAGCATTCATGCTTAATGCCATCCCTCATAATCAATTACTTTTGTCTTGCTTAGATAATTCAGACCTATCTTTCTGTACTGATTAACAACAAATGATATTAAGAAAATTCACTTAAGGAAGACACAATTTACAAATTTCCCACAGTTGCCTGCACTAACAGTATTAACTTTATTTCCTGTGAATATCTATGTAATTCAAGAATTAAGTGAACCAGAGTTTAGCTGAGGGAAAGTAGAAATAATTACTCCACAATAGCTAGAGCTGCAAAGATGTAGTTTGAATATTTCAGGTTGGGAAAGAGATGAGCCATCAATTCTGCACTGCAGGTACTAAATTAGTATGTTTGACTTTACTGTCACCCTATTAGCTCAGTGTAAAAGAAGTGCCTCTATCTATACTGTTTTTCAGTTGTATTTTTCTGAAAGTGTCACACAAAGAGAAATAGAAAAATCTGAAAATTAAAGAAAAAGGTGAAATGAAAGTGAAATGGGGTATAAGGAAAACCTACATGATCATTAAGATAAAAAAAATTAATATACAGAGATATCTATCAGATCCTACTCACAAAATATTGTCTAATTCCTAGAAAATAAAGCTTTCATAGCTGCTGCCACTGTCTAACTTTTCACAACACTTTTTTTTCCCAAGTTACAACACTCAACTGGGATTTATGTCTTGTCATAAAGATGGAAAATAAAATGTTCCTTAGGATGTGAGAAGAATAGTACCTCTCCTGGATATTGTCCTAATAAAATAAATAAAACAAAAGCAGCTCATACCTTCTCATAGTTTTTAACTGTACAGTATATTTCGACTTCTAGTGTTGGCTGACCAACTCCATCAAGAACTTTTCTTCCAACTAATTTGCATATTACTGGAGCTTTTGAAAATTTAGAAAAGTAGTTAGCCTTAAATGAAAGAGAAAGAACTCAATTAAAAGTCAATTTCCAGGCAATGAGGCTTTTATTCTATGAAATACCTTACAATAAAATCCACCACTAAACAAATCCATTATGGATCTCTTCCAACCCAGGATATTCTATTATTCTATGATTGATATGTTCCAGCAAGCTTTGAGAGGAAGTGGAAACCATGACTTCTGGTAGGCAGAGTCCTCATTCTTCTTCCACCATGGTCTTTATTTGGCCTGATGAACTATCATAATATTATATCATATTTGGGTCTGTGTTCGTAGTTAATAAATGATGATTTAATGATCTAATGTTGATTTAGAAAAAAGATTATGTTTTTACCTGAGGTTTCTACATACTTCCTTACTAGTTTCATTATTTAATCTGGTAATTGGAGAGTCACCAAACCACAGGTTACCAAATGGGGGAAGTACGAAACCCTTGGGGCTATGAAGAAGGGGAACACGCCAACTACCAAGCAAAGCAAGGAAAGGTGTTACTAGTTCCAGCCCCTTCCACTGATGATGCAAAACACTGGGAGATGGGAAACAGTGTAAAATGGAATTAAATATTTCCATTCCACAGCTGCTCTCCCATCAAAGACCATACTAGAAATCTTTTTTCTTTTTTTTTTTTTTCTGCTCACTATTTCTAGTATTGGCAATTCCAGTTGAAGTTTCATTATGACTACTATCAACAACACCTTGCCAAGTGGGAACAGATAAAATTGGTCTGATTCTTGACCCTTCCAGTGGGGCCCATTTGCTAGCCAGGAGCAGCCGCAGAGTGAACAGCCGCTGGCCAGGGAGTCATCGCTGCCGAGCAGCACTTTTGTTAGGGACAAACAGCACTCCGTCTGTGCAATACTTTGTTTTTGTGAAGCCCGGCCAGCACAGCACCCAGCTGCCACGGCCACAAACCCAGAACCACGGCAATGCTTGCCCGGGCCAGGGGACAACCCCTGAATTGCCACCACAGAGACACTGAGCCCCGGGCTGAGGGCAGAGCCCGGAGCGGGCACGGCGGGCGCCCTCACAGCTCCGGCCCCGCCCGGCGGCTCCCGCACCCCGCGCTACCAGCTCCCCGTAGAGATCCGCGGGGGGCAGCGGGAACAGGGCGTTCAGCACGTCCTCCATCCGCTCCGGCACCCGCTGCCCTCGGTAATACTCAGCCGCCTCCCGCCGCAGCCGCCGCCGCTCGCCCGCCTCCATCGCGGCGCTGCGGCCGCTGCCGGGCAACGGAGCCGGGGAGCGCCCGCCCCTCGCCCCGCTGCCCGCCAGCCTCGGGGCGGGACAGCGGCGCCTCAGGACGCTCTGCCCGGCCCCGCATTCCCGAGGCTCTGCTCCCTCTGGAGCAGCCCGGGTTGGGGCAGAGCTGGCTCGGTCTGGCCCACTTTGGTCCCTTGAGCAGCCCGGGTTGGGGCACAGCTGGCTCGGTCTGGCCCACTTTGGTCCCTGGAGCAGCCCGGGTTGGGGCACAGCTGGCTCGCTTTGTCCCGCTGTGGCTCCTCATGCCCCGTCGTTCTCGCTCTTCGCCCTCAGCTCTGTCACCGCTTTCCCAGTCAGGACGCCCCGACCAAGCGCTCCTCGCTTTTAAAAGCCCTCGAGCGACAAAACTCTGTAAGATTACGGTCCTGAAAGAGGGACAGGCTGTGGTTTGGTAAATGTCTGGTGAAGACGACGCTGCAAAGCGCCCGCAGTAACTCCTACGTTTGAAAGGCCTCCATTTTCAATGAAAAGAAACATTTCGCGACCTAAATGATCATTTTTAAGCCCGCAATTTCCTACAAAAACTTTCACTTTCTTACGGTGTTCACTGGTAATTTTGTTGAAGTAACTGAAAATGGAGATACTTAAAAGCTGTTAGCTGCACACTTCCCTAGCTCTAAAATCAATATGTGTGGACCTTTGCTCATTGTGTGCTCACTTCTCCAGGTGGGGTGATAATGAAGAAAAATCCCTAAGGAATCATTTTCTTTTCCTTTCACATCCTTTAGAAATACTATGGTACCTCTCCAGAGATTTAAACCCTCTTTTTTTTTAAAAGCTGCTTCCTCTGAAAAAGTTTCTAAAGTGACACTACCCGTTCCTTGAGGAGAGTGGTAGCAAATGCCTCATTAGATTTTCTTACTTCAGGAGGAGTTGATGTGGTGGGTGGCTGCTCCTTTGGGCACACAGCTGCCTCAGGAAGGGCTTGTGCAGCCAGAGGCTGAGGTGGCAGTAGTCAAACAGTGTTGGATATTTGTCACACGCACAGGCTTGCCCCAGAAGGCTCCAGTTTAATTAAATGGTCCTGGAAGAACAGAAGGTAAATGGTGCTGGTGTGGTGGTCTCTGAGCATGATCATATGTGGTGAAATACTACCCAGTGTGAGACCTGTGCCTGCTGATATGTTTAGGTGCCTCTCTCTATCAGTTTCCCTCCTTCTGCCCTTACACAGGCTCTAAACAAAATGCATCTTGAAGGAACACGTTGGAGATAAAAGGAAGACTAGGGAAAATGCCAGACTTCTCTGGAAGAGAGTGGGAGAACTGATTGCCTAGGATTATGAGGAAAGCTGATACACTCAATGGCTGTTGTGCCTCTGTTCACTCCAAGTGCTGCAGCTACACCACCCAAGTTGCAAAAGGAAGGTAAAGGACTGAGAGACCAAAGGGTTAACAGTGTTGGTACTTGAGGGAAGAGTAACTAATGTCACCTGCCTGTACTGTGCTAAGCCTTTGACACTGCCAGCACGACATCCTTTTCTCTAAACTGGAATTGTCTGGATGGTCCCATGGAAAGGTCTGTGGTCAATGGCTCAATGACCAATTGTCCAATGTCCAGTGACAAGAGACGTCCTCAGGGTCAGTGCTGGGACTGGGACTGTTCTTTGTTGATGACATTGACCGTGGGACTGAGGCACTTGGGAAGGAGAGGAGAGGAGAGGAGAGGAGAGGAGAGGAGAGGAGAGGAGAGGAG